CCAGGTTTCCCCCAGTGACCTCCCCACGTACCCCGTGGTTCCCGACCCACAGCATCTCCTCGTGCAGGTCGAAGTGGGACACAGAGACGGGCACCCCGACCTCGGACACGGCCGTGTGGAGCTCGCTGTACATGCCCTCCATCAGGTGCACCGACTCTGGCACCGGGATGCCCTCCAGGGACACCCCCTCGGGGTCCAGCTCCACCAGGCTGGGGTTGAGGTGGGGGTCCAGGACGGGGTCCAGCGCCGGGTGCAGGGGCGGCGCAAACTCGGCCAGGGAGGGGTTGAGCCCTTCGAAGTTCATGGTGAATGCTGGCGGCCTTGGGGACAGAAAAGGAACCAGAGGCGCTTGGTCAGGAACACCCAGAGCCGCCGGTTCTTGGAATTGGTGACTCCGGGGATGGGAATGGCAGCTGGAATGTCCAGTGAGTGTGGGGTGCGGGGCTCTGCCAGCACACCGAGCACACTGGGGCCGTAAACTCCCTCCCAGGACACGCTCAGAGCCCCGTCACGGCCGTGAGGAACTTGTGGTGGCCCCTGGACCAGGGGAACCAGACAGTGGTCCCCGGAGACCGGGCAGTGGTCCTAGGAGGAAATGGGAAGGGGGCCCAGGGTCCCGGGCAGCCTCCCCGGGGTACCGGACAGGGTTCGAGAGCACAGGGAGCTGCCTAGGGGTCCCGGGCACCCTCCCCGGGGCACGGGGCAGTGGTCCCAGGCTGCCCGGGAAGCCGAGCCCCACCCGGAGCTCGGGGCCCCGCCCTGCCCCACCCCCGGCGGCTCCGGGCCAAGCTCCACAACCTCCGCCTTTATCTCCACGGGCCGACACCGAGCGCGCCGGCGGTATCGGCAGCCGCAGCCCCGGGCGGAGCTCGAGGGGCCCGGCCCCACCGGCCCCGGCCCGAGCGGCCGCCCTCTCCGAGCTCGGGGCGGCCGCCACCCCCCACCCCGCCGCGCCTGCCTTACCGAGCCGCCGCCGGGGCCGGGGCCAGGCCGGGCCGCGCTGCCGCCGCCGCCGCCGCTGCCGGGCTGGTCCCGCCGGGGCCGGGCCGGGCCGGGGCCGCTCCCGCCGTCGCTACGGCAACCGCGCCCCCCGCCCGCCGGCCGGCCAATGGCAGCGCGGGGCGCCGCGCGCGGGCCAATCAGCGCCGGGCCGGGGCGGGACTAAGCGACCCGGCGGGACGGGGCGGCGGAGGGGCCAGAAAGGCTGGACGCGGCCGGGGCGGGGCGGGGGAGCCCCGGCGGGACCCCCCAGCTCCCGGATGCCTCGCGGACCCCCGGGCGCTGCCGGTCGGTGTGGCACCTGCGGCGGGCCGTGAGCTCCCACGGACGTCACGCAGCGTCCTCGGAAACCTCAATGTACCCCACGGGGTCCCACCGTGTT